ACAAGGTCCTGGAGAACCGGCGTGTCCAGCTGAGACTCACGCTGTGGAGTACGTCATGGACCCGTGAGGAGTGTGGCAGCTGATGTGCCTCTCAGTCCTGTCTCAGGAAGATGTTGAAGACATTTACATATTTGGATTTATGAAAGCAGGGACTCTGCTTTTTGGCATTGGCGGGGCTCTGTTTTATCGACTTTTGAAGAAGACATCGGCAGCAGTTTCGGCCGTGGCAAAGCTTCAGAGTCAGTGTGAAGGTTTGGTCCGTGCAGTAGGAACTCTAAATCAACTGGTTTACGAGCTAAACCGTAAGGTGGAGGTGATTTATGAGAATTGCAGGCCACCTGCAGCTTCTGGGACTCGTCAGCGTGGTGGGTTCGACCTTGAAGGAGACTCATAGCATGGGTCAGTGGAATGGAATCCCACAATTAGGCTATTTTGGAACCAGAACGTCCAGATGGACTCAAGGCTAAAGAAAAAAGTAATCTGTCTGCCTGAAGAAAAACAACAATCAAAGCTTATCTGAATCTGACTCCCGACGGCCTCGGAACGAACCGACTATCAAATTTCTCCTGGGTCCTGGGTAACCAAGGACAAAAGCTTCATCTATCGCACCCCCCGAGAACTTTCTGTACAAGCTTATCAGAACTGCTGGCTGAAACAACATCATCAGAACTGTGGCCGATTTGAAAAAAACACTCATGGACAAATCTCAACACCTTGATGTCAAATGTAAATGTAATCATGTTTTAATTGTGCTGCTGGTAGAGTTTTTTGATGTCTCAAATCGTGTCCTGATAGATAAGATGTGAAAGATCTTTTTTTTGTAATACCACCATCTACTCTCACGTTTCTCCCCCTTTTCCTATCTAAGATTACTATTCTGAAAAAGGATAAGAGAGGCCGCGCTTACAGCATCAGCTTCAAGCACTCCGTCCATCTTCCGGACGACTGCATGTACATGTTCTCGTTGTATCTCGGTGCAATGATAATAAAGCTTATTCTGATTTACCCGTTCATACAGCACTCTACATCTCTACAAAGATAATTGAACAAATCATTCTAAAGAGACTAATCAGTGCTTTGTCGCATTCATACACCGATGGGACACACATCAGAGGCAACGAGGAGTTCAGTGTCTTGCCCAGGGACACTTCGGCATGTGACTACTGGTGGATTCGAACCCTCAACTCTTGCATTGGAGGACGACTGCTCTAACCACTCAGCCACAGCCGCCCTCAGCGACTGAGTGATTGTCTGCTTGGTGATGTTGTAGTGGTTGATGAACGTAAACCACAATAGTTAGTTGTGAAACTAACATTTTTAAATCTAGCAGACAGGGCCTATATAAACAAACTTACGATGTAGGTGCAGCGCGGACTAAAAGCAAAGGTTCCACAGGTATAGATGTGGGTGGTGTTCAGGAACTGGAGCACACGGATGAAGTTAGGACAGTCAGCCTGAGAGAAACAAGAAGTCAGGGTTAGATGATTCAGGACAATGAAATCGCACAGTTGATAGTTTTATGAATTTACTTTTAGTACATTTCATATGCTTACAACAAGGATGCATCAATAAATTTATGATCAACTGAACAATATAAGGTACAACTCTCATCTGCCACCAAAATAGTCCTGATCTGTATGTAAGACACAAAGACACAAAGTCAGCAGACCAGAAGACCACATTGCTTCATTTCCTAGCTGAAATTTGTGAGCAGCAGTTTCCAGATGTCCTCAAGTTTGTTGATGACCTGGAACATGTGGATCGAGCTAGCAGAGTCAGCAGAGAACCTGGAAAAGAGCCTCAGGCAGATGGAGAGGCAGCTGCTGCAGCTCGAGAAAGACCTGGAGACTTTCTCCTCCCCCGATGACCCCCATGACACGTTTTTCACCAAAATGGTCAACTTTAGCAAAGTTGCATGAGAGCAGTACGGCAAGTGGTGATCTTGCAAGCAACATGGAGACATTATATCAGAACGTTCTAGAATACTTTGTCGTGGATCCCAAGAAGACCTCTGTGGAGGAGCTTATCACCGACTTGAGAAACTTCCGCTCCATGTTTGCACAAGCAAACATGGAGCTTCAGAAAACTTCAGGTGCCAAGAGTTGGAGGAGAAACAGAAGAAAGCACGAGCAGCGAAGGAGAAGGCTGAGCGTGAAAAACAGGAAAGACAGCAGAAGAAGAGGAGGTTCCTGGAAGTCAATGCAGAGATCGATGAGACGGGTGTGATGGATAGTTTGCAGGAAGCTTTGCAGTCCGGAGCTGCATTCAGAGACCGCAGGAAGAGAGCCCCAAGATCCAAAGTAATAGATCCTGTCTAACTCTGAACGCTTGGAAACACCTTGTAACTGCGACTTTCCTTCCCTCCATCGACTACGGTGACATTATCTACATGAATGCTCCTACAAGCACCCTGCAGATGTTGGACACTGTCTATCACAATGTATTAAGATTCATAACTGGCTGTAACTACCATACTCACCACTGCACCCAGTATTCACTGGTTAACTGGACATCATTAACTTCACACAGACTCTCTCACTGGTACATTTTCATCTTTAAATCACTTCTTGGTCTGCTGCCTTCATACATTTCCTCTTACATGTCTCTACGTGAGTGCAGCTACAGCGTGCGCTCTCAGGACATTATTACATGCAGTGTCCCCTCAGTGAGGACTGAACTAGGTAAAAGGGCCTTCTCCTATGCCACCCCTGTTTCCTGGAATATCTTGCAAAAAGATCTGAAGCTCTCGACCTTGAACTCTCCAAGTGATTTTAAAACCCTGTTAAGTACCTAGCAAAAGCCAATGCAGACATGTTCCTGTTTTTAGTTTTCTAAATCGCCTTGTGATCTAACTTTTTTTGCTGCCATTCCTCTTGATTGTCCTTTTGATTGCTATTTTGTTTCGATTTATCCATCCATCCATCCATTATCTTTACCCGCTTATTCCATTTTGGGTCAAGAGGGTCGCCGGTGCCCATGTCCAGCAATCACTGTGTGAGGGGTGGGGTACACCCTGGACGGGTCGCAAGTCCATCACAGGGACACACTGAGACAAACGAGACAAACAACCATTCACTCTCTCACTCACACCTAGGGACAATTTAGAGTTACCAATCAGCCTAACATGCATGTTTTTGGTCTGTGGGAGGAAACCGGAGTACCCGGAGAAAACCCACGCATGCATGGAGAGAACATGCAAACTCCACCCAGAAAGGCCCCTGGACCGGGGTTTGAACCAAGGACCTGCTCGCTGAGAGGCAGCAGCTCTACCAGTTGCGCCACCGTGCTTGTTTCGATTTATTAAAAAAAAAAAAAAAAAGAGAGAGAAACTTAAATTTGTATGCCTATTTTATGACTGTCTATTGTTATCCTTGTTATCCATTGTTGTCATCACTCTTTGGTAAGAAATCAGGTCTCACTTGTAAATGAGTCCTCAAGGCTCAATGGGATTAACCTGTCTAAATAAAGGTTGAATGAATGATCTATCAAGGTTTGAACTCCCCAAGACCTGTGAATGTCTGCTATGGCATCTGGACCATGTGGAGCCACAACTAACAAGAGTACCACACACAGTACCTTACACGCCTGTCAACAATCTATTATACAGCAATCTATAGCAACAAGAGAACACCTTGTATAACCTTTGACCTAGACTTGGGGTG